ATTAGCGGGTTTCTGGCAACTGATCACAGGTGCTGTCGAACACCGCGTGTCAGTCCGGCAATTACGGAAGCGCCATTCAAGACACCATGTTGTGCGCCGGAAGTGCAGGCAAGGACTCGTGCCAGGGAGACTCCGGCGGCCCTCTGGTGTTCAAGGACGGAGGCGGAAACTACGACCAGGTGAGTGGGTGAGCATGGTGAAACAGACTTCAGGTCGAGTAATGCAGTTGGAGGCAGATATTTTAAACTTATCAGTACTGATTATGCGTCTTCTGTATGTGCCATCAAAGTTAATCCAGTATTAAATTTTAATCCAGATCTCTAATGTGCTTGAGCAATGGCAGCATCCAGGATTAACTTTTAATTCACCTCTGGACCAGGATTTACTTTTGAGCTCAAATTTTAATTCTGTACATGCACAGAACGAGCTATTTAATCCCACTTATTATGTATTGATATGTAATGACATCATCATAGAAAATATGGGGTTGGGGTGCCATTAATATTTATAATAAGCAATCACGAAACAAATTCTAACCTTTCCATGTCAAGGATATATCTGAAAATGAATAATTATATATTTTTACAGCTTAGGATATTATAAATGCAGATATAAATAAAAACGAAAAGAAAATTCCAGAGTTTACAGACACAGAAAGGCAATGTTATTTCCAGGTTGGAAAAAAATCCCATCTAATGCAATTAATTAATAAAAAAAAAAAGCTTTTCATAACATCACGATTAGGTTTCAAGTCCAAAGAATAAACTTCCTGATGGTTTAAATTATAGTGACTTTCAAACCGCGTGGACATTTGTTATCATGATCCTCACTAGCAACATCCTTAAAAAAATTACCCTACCCGTGCCCTGTGACCACACACGAGAAAGAGCTCTCCAAGAAAACGCCGCGAATAGTAATGGTTATTATGCGTATTTAATTTTTTTAAACACATTTCAGTTGTCTACAGTATTTAGAGGATATTTAAAGACATGTATGTAATTTTACTTTTACTGATATGATATAACAATAGCATACATGTGTATATATTTTTTTTCCTCTGCAGCAAGCGTTTCGTTATCAGGATTAGCATATGACATGAAACTTGTAGAGTGTGAAGGCTAATTGCCATTACACAGATACCCGCTTTTTCATGTAAAACAGCAGATTTACTGATAATCTCATTGACGCGTACAGGAGACGTCTATTGGTTTTAAATGGTTTCCATAAAAAGAAGTAGAAAAAAATAAGCATAGCCTGAACAATTCATTATAACATTCAAACGCCACTGACATTCAACTGCATTAAAACGGCACCCCATGACATGTATTGACATTCTGTCCCGCGACTTCCATCCCACACAGATCGGCGTGGTGGGTTGGGGCATTGGCTGCGGAGACGATGGCTTCCCCGGCGTGTACACCCGCGTCAACAGCTACCTCGACTGGATCAAGACCAACACAGCCGATGGCATTTACTGCAAAGGAATGCTTCTCTAGCCCTGCCACTCCTGTTCTCTCACGAAAGGCAGCGAGACCTCGAATAAAATAGGTATCACTAATGACACCACTGAGAATCAGATTAAACAACAATTTATTTGTTTTTATTTTCTCCCTTAAGACATTTTAAACATGTTATACTCATAAAATACCTTCAATCAATGCAATGGCCTAATTTGTTGTCATTCTTTATTCCCTCGAATTAAATCGTATGTACTGTCTGTCAACAGACGACAGATTTTACCAAGCGCTGTGATGAGATCCAACATTTTCAGAAAGTCTCTTGAAGTCGTGAGCTTATCAAAACTACATTACTTTTCATTGATTCCAGATGGCTAGCTTTGTCCTCTGCTGTCTGATTTCGGTCTATGAATACTCATTTGAACTTGAGAATAACCCAAGATATTTCTCTTGGGTTCGTCTCATCTGCCACCTGTAGCAGCATGACCCCGCAACCTCAGCATACTTTCCCAGGTTGGGTCATGCTAGGTCCGCCGCCGCTGGCTGCGCTCATTCGCCAGCGGGCTCCCCTCGTTCCCTGCGTGCTTACACAGCGCTAGTGTACTTAAGCCGCGGAGCTCTCAGCGAGATCAGCAACCCCCGATCCTCCAGACTCACCGACTACAGCAACGGCACTCAAGGACTGCCAAGTCCTTAACCGACTGGGGAGCCAGCCGGCTCCCCCGTAGAACTCCAACTACAGTCACCAATACCCAGCCATACCCGTGGGCACTCACACCCACACAGTCACTCCATAAAGAGATAAGACACCAGACTAAACATAGTAGATGGGCAACCTAACCATTTACTATACACCTGAAGGACGTATCTGGTTGGGGTTCTCCACCACCCGGCTTATCAGAATAGGGAAAAAATTAACTTTACCCTTAAGGACTATGAATAAAAAAAGTTTTCTGTTCTTATAGCTATTGGGATTATTAAAGCGGCTGAGCCATTCCTTTAGTGTCCGGACTAAATCGCTGTATATAGCTGAAACCGGTCAA